GTGCCTATAGTCCCAGTTACTCAGGAGGCTGAGGCAGGAGAATCACTTGAATCCGGGAGGCGGAGGTTGCAGTGAACTGAGATTGAGGCACTGCAGTCCAGCCTGGGCAACAGAGCAAGACGCTGTCTCAAAGAGGTACAGGTAAAACCTATAGTGCATGACTAGAGGATTCTGAAGTCATGGCAACTCAAGTTTCTGGTTAGAACAGGTATGAAAACTCCTATCTTCTTACCTTTCTAATGTCCCCAACAATGACTACTTTTAGCGTTACAAAGGAATTTTAAGAGGCAGTGAGAATTATTGAGGCAAAGTTCCTGACCAAAATCAGGTTCCCAACAGTTAACCCAAAACAGTAAAATGTGGGAAAAGCAAGTGTTTTAATTATACTTTAATCCCAGTTCCAACATTTGCTGACCCTGGTTGTTACCTAATTTCTTCATGGAACCTTTTTCCTCCTGAAAAGTTATTATATACTACCTCTATCTTGAAAGGCTGAACTTAACCACCCCACTCCCCGACTGCCATCTAGGAAGATGTAGGAAATTAAAAGGTGTGTGTTTCTCTAGTTTCTCTGTTGAATGCAACCTTCTAACGCATCCTTAATCCTGTATTTTAGTTACTCTGACTAGATCTTGCAGAAAAAGACTGTTTCTAAATATTGGTTCACTTAAGCAAAATTCCATGGTAATACTTTAATAAAGAAGTCATTTGTTATTTCCTATAGAATTTCTGTCACGCAGACTGTAGTGCAGTGGTGCGACCTCGGCTCACTGCAACCTCTACCTCTTGGGTTCAAGCAATTCTCCTGCCTCAGCCTCCTGAGTAGCTGGGACTATGGCATGTGGCACCACACCCAGCTAATTATTGTATTTTTTAGTAGAGAGGGCATTTCACGATGTTGGCCAGGCTGGTCTCAAACTCCTGGCCTTATGTGTTCTGCCCACCTTGGCCTCCCAAAGTGCTGAGATTACCGGTGTGAGCCAGCGCACCCAGCCTCCTACAGAATTTCTTAAATGAAGGCTTTATATAATGTAGCATCAGTTTTAGTGATTATTTGGTCTTTCTAAAAAAAAAAAAAAAAGGACTAACCTCAAGTTGAACATATTGTATACTGATAGTAATGTGCCCTAGGTTAATATTTAGTGTTGACTTTGCCAAGAAAGAGAAACAGCAGCTATCTCCTTTCCTATGTATCAGATCTAATAGGAAACTGGTTTTCTTGTAGAATATGTCAGATTGTTTTAAATAGGCAGCGTAGTTCAAAATTACTGGCTGATCACTTCCTGTTCTGTTTTACCTTTATATAGTCATAAATTAGAGAAAATGGCTTCAAATGAAGTTCTTTTAAGATACTGCCAACTAACTTACTGTAGTTTTGGAATTTTTTCGATATCCTCAAGCTCATAGCTCTTTGCCATGGGGAATGCTTTAAAAATCTTTATTGGTAGAGTAATAACTGAGATACTTATTTTAGATGCTCACACCAGGGCACAGAATAGCACTGTAAAAATATAACAAAACCTATAAAAGTACCTCTAAAATTTATAAGAGTATAAATTTAAGATCATCAGTCATTTCTAAATTAGTAGCTTCATCACACTTAGAAACCTAGGTCAACTAAACCTGACGGTGATTTTGGAGGGAAAAACTCCAGGCAAAAGAATAAAAGGGATACTTACTCCTTCCTGCTACTTCTGAGCAATGAACATTTGGACAGTTACCATCTATTAAAGTGATTACTAGCCTAGCTTCAGATCTCAGGCTTCAACTCTAGTTTCCCAGGATATGGAGTCAAGTGTTTCCTCCAAGCCTGAATTCTTTGTTTCTCTGGTCAGAAATTCACTGCATCTTGCTAAAGTAAGTACAGGGCTTGAAAGGGGAAAAAACAAAAGCACATCAGTTTTACCAAGAAAGGGAAAATCCTGAGCCAGCAAAACAACCACCACCTTAACTTTCAGCCCCAAGTTGAGAAAGTAGCTCTTCAAACAAAATGCCAACTTTCCTAGTATCACCATGGCTCTTTCAGCTGTATTCTTAAAAAAAAGACTTAAGTGGAGAAACAAATTACAGTTTAAATAATTCCAGTGACTATACTGGTTTTGTTTAACTGGTAAGGTGTGTGGTGGAACTAAGTTTACAGTTTTTATTGCCTGGGAACTGAAAGATTAATTAAATATCCAAAACTTCGTATGTTTAGCTAGTTCAGCTGTCAACTACCACAAACCCTTTATTCTCAGTTCTGCTTTACCCCAGTCAAGGCCACAAAAGAACCACCTTTATATACGTAAGTTAAAAGGCAATTAAAACACCTCACAGAAATCTAACACCATTTTGTTTTATTTAGTTTGGCTAGGCCAAAACAAATGATTAAAATGTTCCAACTATAAAATTGATTTCTGAACCTCTTAAGATGTTTCTTAAGAACCTAACTATACACATATATAGGCCTTTTAAACGATGATCGGGTAAAGGGCGCCAATTACTTGGGTTTTTCTGTTTAAAATACAATATTACCTGTTATTTTGCCTGCTATGCTCTTCCTCTCCACTGCAGTAAAAATTCAGTTTAACTTGCAACTCAAAAATCCTAGATACAAAGAATGTTTACATTTACTGTTGAACTTGTAAATTGCCATTTATACTAATTGATTGCTTCGTAGTACCATACAAATACTTAATTCAGCTGATATTTATCGAATCAAGATTTTAACAAATATAAAACCTCATTGGTTTTAATAGATTTTCCTCCTTTATATTTTCAGTTACTACCCAAGTTAAAGCAAAAAGCTATATCAAAGCTTTAAATGTTTTTTTTTTTTGGTGAATTTACAACCAGTAGTTTTAATCTTATAAAAATTATAATTATAAAATTATAATCTACAGACACACAAGAGTCACAAAACTACAATTTTCCTTTATGTTAACCTGATGGTCTCCTTTGCTATTTTTAAGGCAGACATTCAGCATTAGAATTGCACACTGGAAACATACACACCCTTCAATGTGACAACAAGCAATTTTTTTTAAAAAAATGTGTTGCTACAGTAACTGATGCATCTTGTTTTGGTTTGATGCCTAGTCTTCATGATTAGGCTAAAAGGTAATTTTTCTTAATTTCAAAAGTCAACTCTTTATAGTTAACGAACAGTTCTCAGACGGGGTTGCACATCAGGATCACCTGTGGTGTTCATCAGACAGACATACCTTGGCCTGGATAAGTCTAAGGTTGGTCCCAGGTCCACAAATTCCTCTTTAATTTTAAACAAGCATTAGGGGTGACTTTTATTATAACCTTCACCCCCTTCCCATTAAGAAAACATGCCCTAGTATACAAATTAGTTCAAACATTTAACTAGGAATACTAAATATATCTTACAACCTTGGTAATTTGGTAACACTTCAATAATGGTTATAATTGGATGCCTCAAATCATAAACAATAGGTATTGTTATCCATTGTAATGTGGATTGCTGTTGAAGTTACAGAAAAAATACCAGATAATTCACCATTGCCACTCTGTAGAGTAATAGCAGACACTTCTATAGTGCTTATGCCAGACACTCTTAAGCTGTTTACACATTTGAACTCAATCCTTAAAACTGCAACAGATTTTTCCATTCTACAGCTGAGAAAAATGAGTCAGAGGAATACACAGGTAATAAACGGTATTTTAACACTCGTCTGGTTCTAGAGTCCTTGCTGTTTTCCAATATGCTCTGTGGCCTCCCTACATGTTAATTAAAATAGCACTTGTTACCTGTGATTACTACTAAAACTAAACATTTTGGTTATTAATTTCCGGGAGGTTAGAACTGTTCTTTCCTTGAAATGGTAACAACAGTCAAATGTCAAGCTTTGGTAAGTTACATGCAACCATTTCTACTTAGGGGCCCATAACTCAGTATTTAACATTTCAGTCTGTCACAGTTTCAAAGCTTCAAGTCTCCTTTCTTAATGGGGGAAACTCCACATTAAATTTTCTAACAAAGCTTTTTAAGGTCAATGTTTATATTTCATTTTAGAATAGAGAGCTTAACCACCTTCAATTGTAAAATACTGTTGGTATCATGCTTCTCATTGAGCGTTTTCTCAAATTCAGTATCACACTGACAGGTAGTCTCCCCAGGAGTCCTGCCTTAGTTCAGAGACACAGTCATCATCCTGACACTAGGATTTTCCAAAGGGCCACATCTAGATCTTTGACACAATGGTTGCTGATTTCATTCTAAAGGTCTATTTTCAAAATGGATTTTTTTTTTTTGATAAGGTCACTTTTATTCCTTTTCTCTCTCCTACTGCAAAGTCCTCTGGGAAAACTAAGGCCCCCAGGGTCAAAAGAGGGACAAGACTGTTAACAGTCCTGCCTACACAAACATCAGGTGAATTACTATTCTAACACCACCAAGGTAATCTCAACAACCATTTTCTGGGGTCACAATGACACCAAATTTCTTCCCATTGCTTTTAATTCAAAGGATTCTCTTGCAGTCCATCAAGTCCACTCTTGATTATTGATAAACTCTTAAGATGTTACAATAAGAAACTTAATTTTATTTAGAAGTTTACAGGCTTCAAAGAGCCCTTTTTCTACTGCAATTTGTGCCTTTCTGTCCTTTGTGTCCTACCCTATGGCCACGAATTATATGAAGAAAAAGTGACCCTCCTGGGTTGCGAGGGGTTGGGGGTGGAAGGGAGAGATGAAGAATTCTACCTACCACTGTCCTAAGTTTCAATTTATAAAAAAAATTAAAATTCATGAAATAAAAATTGATTTTCCCTTTCCTCCAAAAATCTACAAACACCCATTAAAATGAGGACATCCTATAAACACATGCCTAGTTTGCCCTTTAAGATCCAATTTCTTCTAATGGAAGGAATACTTAAGGATTTACTGAAACCTTTCTCTCACACTCAATATTCTCTTCCATGGCAATGCTGTGTGCAAGTTTAATCACTATGAGTGCTGACAGCTTTAGCTTACCCTTTTGTTAACACACCCTGGAGATTTTAAAAACACTTTATTTAATAAAAGTTAAACATACAAAAATGAAATAATACACATCCTAAAAATTACCTTCTTCCATTAATAGGAAGACCCTTTTCTATGCATGTATTTGGCTTAACTCAGGATAACTGTGATGTTCATTTACACCAACAAATGCAGACAACTTGATCTAATTAACAAAAATTACAAACAGCTAAATGAACATAATATACAGGGAAATTATGGTCAGATTAATGCACAAGAAATACAAGAAATTTTTAATGATGAAACATTCAGTACTCTTGTTCATTAATTTAGCCTTGTGTTTTTACAAAAATAGTATCTACACTGTATACAGGGCTATACATCAGCTTTTTGTTCTCCCATATAAACATTACACATCCAAAACATGGTACCACTGCCGTAAATGAAAAAAACAAAAAACAGGAAAAAAGCAAACATACAAAAAACAAAAACACCTTAGAAAAGGGAGCTCATCCTAAGGTTTCTTACATAGAACTAAGAGTACGTAAAAATAAAACACATCAATTTTAGAGATGGCCTAATAGGCCTAGGATACAAGTTTTTGAGGAAAAACCTCAAAACAAACTCTGCCATTTACAAATTAACCTATCTTTAGGCTTAACTGAACGACAGCTAAGTTTTAAAGTTGAAAATAAGAAAAATGAAAGGATCTCTTTAGCAGGTTGGTGTTTTTGCCTTGGTGTTCCAATCAATTGCCAGAATATGTGTCAAGTTCAAAGCATCTGAAAATTTCAAGTTACAACTTACAAAAAGTACATACCATAGGTTAAGTAGGCGCCTGATATTAGGAAGATCAATAATTCATCTCAGTGCTGTATGAAACAGCATCTACAAAAGTTGCTTTATTCAACAAACTTTCAGGGAACCGTGGTACTGATAATGAGAAAAGTTAAATAGCAGTTATCAAATGCAATTTCTTCACGTTTCATTCTACTGAAGTCAACCAATGACGACAATGGTATCTTGCTTACTCATCTAACAAATAATTTACCTTTAGAAAAATATAAGGATAAAAAGGTAAATGTAAAGCCCTGCAGAGATGAAATCCAACAGTTTTTCTGATTATTGAGGCATCAAATGCCTGACATTGTATTTAGAGGTATCTTGATATTGTGTCATAGGTTTATCGGCAATTCCACAAGTTCCTACTCCAACTTTGCCAGTCACACTCTCAGGTGAAGCAAAAATACTCCTCTTTACCTAGGGGAGAAAATAGAAACCATTCCTATTAGTATTGGAAAAAATAAAAAATTTCAAATTTTAAGTAATGTTAAAATATATTCTGGTTTCAATGTTTAAAAGAAGAAAAGCATATTGCCTTTGTTCAGTGTTAAAAAATGGGTATAGAAGTGGTCCCATGCTGGAAGCCATTTACTCTAACTTCTAAGTTGAGGAAAATATCATTAGACACTTACTAATACTCATAACACTTGCTTTCTGATACCTCAAAATTTTAGTTTTGCAAACTCAAATCCTAACTTCAGCTGTGAGCGAGCCATTTTAGCATGATTAAAGCTCTGGCTGTATTGCAGTTTACTGCGGGGCCTGTTATGATATCTAAATTGTGAAGTCCCTTGGCCTTTATTTGTCACAAAATAAACATCTTTATGAAAAGGAAGCACTTCTTTCCAGAAGCCATGTCCATCAATGGAAGGGCTACCTTGATGGGAGTGACGAGTAATACATGGGTGAAAGTCAGGCTATCCTTATTCTCAACTTCCTATATGAATGCTACAGTTTTCTTCTACCCAACACACACTTAGAAAGATAAATGTATCAAGGGAAACTGAATGTACTTTTAAATAAAGTCTACCCCCTAATGCCCAGCATGAAGGCATGTTAACAAAGCAGGTAGAGTTAAGCACACTGCCTCTAAGTAGCAACCATTTTTTCAAATATTAGTTTATTAAAGGAAAAGAACATAGACCTTTTGTAATTTCTGATATAAATTCTCTCATTTGTAATATTTTTATGCAGAGATGATGGCTAACATTTTTCAATAAGCTAAATTGAGCATCAACAACGATTCTGAATGCAAAATCTGAGTTAATCACACTTTTAAAAAATCTACATACTTCTCTTTTCATTTTAAAGTTAGTCAGTCACATTTCTCAAATTTACAAAGTGTCATAAAAAGATTTACCAACCTGGCCTTTTTTGTTTTTGGAATAGGCTCTGTTGTTGAATTGTTGCCATTTCACTTTCTGGTCCTCTCTTTCTTGCTCAAGTTCTTTTATTCTCTGAGCTTTTTTCAAAGCTTTCTTCTTTTTATATTCACGCTGCTGGGCAATCATTTCTTTTCTGCATGAAAAAAAGTTAAATGTCAACTGTTGAGACTTATTATACAAGAGTGACTTCCTTGAAGACACCGGCAGTGCCAAAAAAAAAAAAAAAAAAAAAATCAAACATATACAATGGTCTATGAATAAAAAGTACTAACTCATTAAAATCAGTACCAATCACCCAGAATTACTAAGTTTTTTTTTTTTTTTAAAAATAGCATCCTTGGGAGCTTTCAAACATAAGTATAATCTATTTACCCATATAAAGTAAACATTCCAACTATAATTATTTTTTTATTTTGCGTTAGAGTCTTGTTCTGTCATCCAGACTGGAGTTGGAGTACAGTGGCACTCTCGGCTCACTGCAACCTTCACCTCCTGGGTTCGAGAGATTCTTGTGCCTCATCCTCCCTAGTAGCTGGGACTATAGGCGTGTGCCACCATGCCCAGCTAACTTTTTTATTTTTAGTAGAGATGGTTTTTTGCCATGTTGGCCAGGATGGTCTCGAACTCCTGGCCTCAAGTGATCCACCTGCCTTGGCCTCCCAAAGTGTTGGGATTACAGGCATGAGCCACTGTGCCCAGCCTCAACTATGACTTTCTATTTTACTTTTGTATAGTTGTTGCCAGTTGTTTTAGGAATAAGTTGAGTTTCAGTATTAATGGGTATCTAAGCCTTCATCTACTTCCAAATAGACACAGTTAACAAGTACGGCATTTAGAAAAAAATGTATGAAGAGATTCAGTGCAGATAAAATATTTTACCTACATTGGAAGAATGCAGCAGCACAAAGGGAAATCATAGCTAACAATTCTCATCAAAACAAAACACCTGGGGGTTTCAAAAACATTTTAAATAAGATTCTAAATAGGATCAGAGCCTATAACCCCCAATAATTTCTGCTCAGTTAACACTGACTTCTCACCAAAAGGATGAAAAAAAGATCTTTAGGCTGGGCGCGGTGGCTCAAGCCTGTAATCCTAGCACTTTGGGAGGCCAAGACAGGCAGATCCCGAGGTCAGGAGATCGAGACCATCCTGGCTAACATGGTGAAACCCCGTCTCTACTAAAAAATACAAAAAACTAGCCAGGCGCGGTGGTGGGCGCCTGTAGTCCCAGCTACTCGGGAGGCTGAGGCAGGAGAATGGTGTAAACCCGGGAGGTGGAGCTTGCAGTGAGCTGAGATCCGGCCACGGCACTCCAGCCTGGGAGACAGAGCGAGACTCCGTCTCAAAAAAAAAGATCTTTAAGAGGGGCATTATCTAGACTCCCTGGTACCATATTACCACCATGAAGCTATGGCTTTTTACACAGATGACAAAGACATAAAAAAAAAATATACACACACACACACAATTGTTCTAGAATTGGATTTTATTGGGATGCTTACATTAATATATAATTTTTGCATATTCCAATAAAAATATGTAGTAACTACAGTTTTGAAAACTCTTGACAAATCAAAAGACTAAGTTGTGGCAAATACGCAGAAGTTCACCAAAATATTGTTAATTCTGCCTCTTACTTTTCAAAACTGCATAGTTCCCCATTCCCATTGCTACTCCCTGGGTTCAGGCCATCATCTTATACCTGGATCACAGCAGTAGTTGCCTCTCCCTACTGACAGTGATCATTCTAAAGCTCAAATGTGATCACATCATATCCCCTCTACTTAAAATATTATCAGTGGCTTAAAGCTCTTTATGTTCTGGACTTTACCACTCTAATCTCTTCTCAGACCACCCACTTCCCAAGTCCCAAGTTTCTACCACAGGGATTTGTTACTTTTACATGCTCACCCCCTCTTTAAAACTTACTAAGCTCTTACTACTACATGTAAAGAACTGTTACAAGCTTTACTAACACTTATCATTTGAATCCTCACACCCAATAATGTACGGTCCCTATCTTACAGACGAGGAAACAGAGTTAAACAGCTTATCCAAGGTCATAGTGCTCATTAATAACAAAAAATTCAATCCTAGATCAAAGTCATATCACCTTGTAGCTTTGTACTTGGTTATCTCTTATTCTTTTCAAATCTCAGTTTAGATGTTGTTTTCTCAAAGAAATCTGCCCTAATAAAAGTGTAGGCTGAGTACCTCTTGTTCCCTTACAGTATCTGTTATAGCCCCTTTGTAATGTTTACACTCTATTATTAAAGCACTTCATTAATGACGAGTTTTCTTCTCTAAATATAAACTCAGTTGGGACAAGGCCTGAGGTGGTCTCCTGTGGTGTAGCCTCAGCACCTGGCTTATAAAATATGCTGGGAAGATGTTCATTATACATAGTATCTTAATATTTACTGAATGCCTAAATGGGAATCAAAATTATCTTCACTTAGGCACATTTATATAGACAATGTTGACCCTTCGTTGCTGATCTTCAAAACAACAGTAAAACAGTATTATAACCTTCTTATGCATAGATTCTCTCTGCAGACTACTTCAAGTATCCAAGTGGGGAAGATTACACCTAAAATGGAAAAGTCAAAGTCACTTACTTTGACATGGGTTTGTTGCCACTGTCCTCCTTTGCTTTCCTTCCTTCTTCTACAGGCTTGAGGTTCAACAGTGGAGTCACTTCAGCATTGCCATAACCAGCAAAGGTGATTGCAGCGGTGCCATTTTCTTCATCTATCTCTTCAATCTCCGCTTCATAACACCTGTAAAGATATCATGGCTGTAAGCAGGTGAGTAAAGGTTTAGTACTCAGCCTACAAGACTTATACTGTAGTGATACAATTATTACATGTGTCTATAATGAAACTTCTATAATCAAATGGTTGTTTTAGCAAAGAGAATACAAAAGAGTGGTTGAAGTTAGTTGTATTTTATCAAAAAAAAAAAAAAAAAAGACATCCTAATCAAAATATTGCTGGGAAAGTCTCTTGCATGTATCTACCCAATGTACTTTAATGTCTTTGAGAAAAGAGGTTTCTTTTCTTTTTTGCGACAGAGTCTCACTGTCACCCAGACTGGAGTGCAGTAGTGCAATCTCGGCTCACTTCAACCTCCGCCTCCCAGGTTCAAACAATTCTCATGCCTCAGCCTCCCAAGTAGCTGGGATTACAGGCACACACCACCACACCTGGCTGATTTTTGTATTTTTAGTAGAGATGGGGTTTCACCATGTTGGTCAGGCAGCGTTCTAACTCCTGATCTCAAGCGATCCACCCACCTCAGCCTCCCAAAGTGCTGGGATTACAGGCATGAGCCACCACACCCAGCGAAAAGATATTTCTTATAGGAATGATTTCAGTGTATGCTCTTCACAGAATTCTCAGAAAAACCAGCCGTTCACTCAATTTTCAATTTGAGGAGAAAAGAATTTAGATTATTTTAGAAAACACGCATTCACTGTCCCGTTTTTCCTTCCTCTAGAATCCAAGTCATTCTTATCCCCAAAACTTAATCTAAAGCTAAAACTAAACTGTATTAATGGCAACCACCCAAGAATCAAATTGGCTCTATAAATCATACTGCCTAATAGAAGTAAAGATTAAAATAGGGTAGTTAAAACTGAATAAAAACTTCTTACCATTGTATTTTATTATTTCATGTTACAGTTAGGGTTTTTTTTTCTACACTTACTGTCCATCTTCACTCCAGATTGCCATACACTTGTCTCCTACTTTCCATGAATGAGTAGGTTGAGTAGAAGCAAAACTGTCTGAACTTGCAAGCGTCTCAGAAGGTTGAGTTGACAGAAGGTCTTTGGTTAGTTCTATAACTTCCTAAAAAAGAAAAACAAAAACCACAACATTATTTTCGTAATTCTCATTGTCAACTTTGTTTTTGATGACAGCTTTCATACTGTACACTAAGTACTCTCTATATATTTCATTTGCAGTTCATAACACTATTAAGTACTGTGATTATCCCCATGTAGAAACTGAGATACAGTATTTTCTACAAGTTAAGTGGTAGAGCTGTGATTTAAGCCCATATAGTTGCCTTTCAACTTAACCACAAATACTAATGAAAATTAAGACTTGAGCTTATACCATTTCTAAGTGCCTATTTTAGCTGAATAGATCTCTCTAAAGATGAGAAAGTCAAGTATGAGGGACTGAATTAGATATTCTTATTGTAACATATTTTATGCAACTGTACTGTTTTATAGGGCATTACTCAGTAGTATTAACTGCCAAACAATTCCAAAACAGTTTAAGCAGCTTTATTAGTAACAAAAATGTTCCTACTTATACATATCTCAACTAAAATACTATAGGCATATGTAAAAGAAACCAGTGGTCTTCCTATTCAATTACTGTAAAACTCACCCCATCTGGGTAAGCAAATTACCAGGTTAGATTTTAAATGTTCCATACCTTAATGTTAAGCACATCAGCACAGCTTCATTTAAAAGGGGGGAAAAAAGGTAACACACATAGGCAATGCCTTTCTGTGTGGCAAATATTTTTTTCTAATTCAGGCTTACATTTATTGGCTTCATTCAAAGATGTCTGGTGTAGGGATGGCTAAAAAATTGAGACTAGTACAAACTGACAGATTCCGCTACCTATCTACTACATTTTTACTCTAATGAAGATCCACACTATGCATCTTATCTGATCTAAGAACTGGTGTAGCTGTTCACCCACTGTTGCATTTAAAACATCATACTGTGTGTTTGGGGAGAAAAATGAACAAAATTAAACTATGTACTGAGTTTCTTCTAGTTCCCACTGAGGTTTCACAATAGTAAATCTGATTCAGTAGCCAAGAAAGTTAAATATTACCTCTCTTCTAAAGACTCTAAATCTTCCTGGCTATTTCTGAAAAAACTAATATTTGAGTCTTAAATCTCTTCAAGAAAGGTTAGTTTTATAAATAAATAAATAGAACACTTTGGTTTGAGTTAAAAATTTAGTAGGAATAATATCTCTAAGTTTTATTAGTTGCCAACTAGCCATTAATTAGATCTTTTTAATTAGATAGTCCTTTGCAAATAAAGCAAGGAAACTTCCAAATAACTAGATCAAGTAGTACACAAAAGAAGAGTAAATTATCTGGTCTTACTTTTAACCACTTTTAGGGGTAGGAATGTAATCCAGTAAGCCTGACTCAAGAGCCCACACAAATCTCTATCATTAAATATTTCCAGATCCACCTAGGGATCATTTAACTTAAGCACAGACATGAATTCTGCACTTGCAGGTTTCAGATTTAGAACTCTATTTCTTTTAGGACAGAACTATTTTCCAAATACACTTTGTTAGAGAAATATATTTCATCAAAGAAAAGGGTCCTGAAAAGCTGTGCCTATTAGTGAATTCAGAGGCCTGTGCTGAAATGACCTTTTTTTAGAAAAAATCCAGAGCATTTACTCCTCATGTCCTCTAACTTTGCCATGGTTTTACATAACCCTCCCAACAAACTATGAAGAACCTTCTAAATTTCTATTCTTCACATGTGCGTATGGACCAAAGTATTAGAAAAACTATTTTATGTATGAGGGGGTTCTTGAAGGTACATACCATTAATTACTTTTCCTCCCTCAAGTCTGAGTTCTGAAACTGCTCCTTCATCGACAGATGGGCAGCAGTTACAGTAATCGGCAATTCCAGGAAGCATCAGGTGTTGTGATCTACATATCAGCAGGTCAAAGGGGGTGCACTCAAGCACTCTGCTTACTGAAGGAAGGCGTTTCGGGGATGCAGAGAGCCACTGTAATATATGAGACAAGTGACTTGACCCCTGCCTCCTTTAGAACCAGCTTATTCAGCAAAACAGCCTAATAAATTGACTATCTGTGATTATCATAGACTGCCCGGGGAGCTAGTCAGCTAGCTAGCCTGAATTTTATTACACCCACTTTTTTAAGTGAAAAAAGAGAGGCAGGACTTTAGTAGATTATTTTGCTGCCTGCTGAATAACTTTAGTCTCTATGAAAGACAGTACATGAAAGAGATAAACATAGAAACCTTACTGGCAAAATGAAGTCATTGAAAAGATGCAGAAAAAGTGTTTTGTCATAAATCAAAGGGCAAACAAATTAATAAACAGGATAAGGATCTAATTCTATAGAGGAACACAAGAAATTAGAAACCATATGGTCAAAAAATATTAATATGAGGAAGCCACAAAATCAGTCTGAACAGACTTCTCACCAAATGTAACAGGCTGAATTAAATACCCATAGCATGAGATACATCCCAGAAGGCAGAGAAGGAAAAAAGAGGTGAATGAGCGGGGGAACCGCCATAGCTAAATAGAAGCTGTAAGTATAGTCTCAATGGAGACAACAATTACTGGGTGGAAGCATATAGCCAAATACTTTTCAGAGTATTACCTCATCTTAAAAGATGGTTTCCATTTTTGAGTAGTTTTCAATTCAAAACAGACCTTATCTAGTGACCAAAATGAAATTTCTAATGATAGAATAAAATCGGAAGAAACTCTGATCAAGACTGGTCAGGAAAAACATTCTGTTATTACTATCTGAAGTATGAGAACTTACACTTCTAAATTCTTGCCATCCAATATGGTAGTCACATGTGGCTAATTAAGTTATATTAAAAACTCAGCTCTTAAGTAAACCTAGCTGTATTTCAAATATCCAACCAAATGTGGCTAGTGGCTATGGTACTGAAAAGCAGATATAGAACATTTCCATCATCACAGAAAGTTCTACCGGACAGTGCTGTTTTAAATGGTTATAGAAAAGAGGATACTTTACAGAAAAATGATTTCCAGGTCATTATTAACTGAACCCCCGCAGGCAAGCCTTTTAGGGGCTTACTACAATGTTTATCACAATGGTTTCCCCCTACAGTACTTTCCACTACGATGACCATGACATGGTAAGGCAGTTCTGCCCAGACTCTAATGATGAATTAATCTAGAAATATTAAAAAGACCTGATGATAATGCTATTTCTAACTCCACTCCCAACTTCCCCAACCCAACCAGTTCAACAAATACCCCTCCTCCCACTGCCCAGGAAGCAATATACAAAACACTGGCACCCAATGTTTTATTTTCCTAAAAAAGGACTGCTTAAGTTGGTAAAGGTAGTCGAGGCATCTCTCTTTGGGGCAAACAGAAAGTGCTTTACAGAGTGTAAGAAGAGAGGTCGGTGTACCTCTGTTGCCTCATCTTCAATGTATACTCACAACATGTGAGCAAATCAAATGGACAGGTGGCAAACCATTGGGTTATTTTTCACTTACGGGCCTGGGAGTGGAAGAAAATGCTCCCAAAACATCTTTTTCTTATTGACTGGCACCCTGAAACCCACAGGCCTGGCTTCCATGTATCGAAGAGGGGTCTTGTTCATATTGAAATTATCCCAGATGGTTTGTGTGTGTTTAAAAATAACATACTACTGCAATTTTATTCTAAATCTAGAATTTGAAAGTATTCAACTCATTTTAATTATGCCCAGATAAGCAGTTCCAGAATCCCAAATCTGGACCCTATTTCAGTTAAGTTTGTCTGCAGTTGTGATATCCCTAAAATAGTAATAGTTTTAATGGACACTGGAATAATAAAGGGAGGGAAATAATTTTTAGACAGGATACAGATTCAAGTTTAGTACTCAATTGGTAAAGCAATCTCTAATCAAAACACCCTTGAAACTTTTTAAAAATCAGGTTCAGAATTTAAAGGAAGCTCTTAAAAGTCATATATATTGGCAAATTATATATGGCATTTTTCTGAATCAGTCCAGTGTCCTGAGAAACAAAAGGTATTTACTATGAAGGCTCTGTCTTGAAATCCCAGTGCAGGTTTTTAAAAAAAGGTTTTCATATCTACTGAACTTGACAAAGATCTCCTTTTCACCACATAGTTCAATTTCCACAAGTGTCACCAACTTTACTGTAAAACCTAGCCTTAAGTCCTAACATCTGTGTAACAATTATACAGAGCACATGTCTCTCTCTAGGCATCTTTGCAGTGTGTTCTCAATACAAGACATAACCCACAAGTTTTGGCGGAGGGGAAGAAGTCACGCATTTTCAAAGAATCTTGTGGTATTAAAAGGAATCTTAAGGTTCTATTTTTCTCCTTCAATCTTTGTTACTTTTTGAACAAAATTTCATTTTCCAGGTCTTAAAAAATAAAAGTATTTTTCATTGTGAAGTTACATGTACCTCTCGTCTTGAAAATCTGACAGACTTAGAAATTTCTACCAACTTTTGTTTTTAAAAATCATGTAAGTACACAAGATTTATATAACAAAGAACAATATGTCATTCCCTCTGATGTACAGAAACCTGAGAACTGGGGAAACAACCCTACTTCTACAAACCACAGTACCTACACAATTTACCTATATACGCAGGGTGGGGTGTAACCCCTCAAAAGGCGCTTTGGGTACTTAGGAATTCAAGCAATAATTCGAAAAACAAGAGAAAAAACTACAATTGCCTACCCATACTTACTTGTAAATCTTTCTTCAATTTTAGCAAATCTTCATTTTCTCCATTTCCAGATAATGCAGCTTCAACTTGCTGGAGCTGAGCTTTGTAGCTTGCCAGCTGCTTTGCTAAATCCTCTGACATCTGGGGAAAATAAAAAGGGTTAGACCACGAAAACTGAACCAAAAATCAAGGCATAAAAAACTAACTTCCTTGTCTGCCTGAATTACCAGTTTTTGCCTCCAACTCCTTCTAACACTGCAGCTTAATTCACCACCATTACCTTTACTCTCAGTTTAGACTTCACCTAAACCACAAACTTAAAGGCAACAGCTTCCGAAGACTATAAACCTGAGATACAGTCCATACTTTAAAAAAAGCATACAGATACAAAGAAATTTCTAATTTTCTTTTAACTCCTATCCACAGGGTAGGTGCTGAATTCGGCTCAATAATCGTTATCTTTTTAAAAAGCACTACTCTGCTGGAAAAGTCGAGACTTTCAAAAACAATCCAAATACTTATTTTTAAGCACTAAAGTACGCTTCCAAAGTCAAACAAGTACGTTTTTAACTTAACTACACAAACAACTAACTTTACGTGAACTATTCAATTAAGAGTGTATTTAAAAGTGCTTCTCCAGAACAAAAATCTTTCGCCCAGTCGCTTAACTATTTATCGCTGCATTAACTTCAGCAAAAAGAACAGCACAGGTACTCTCCCATGTAGACGTTCTAAGGAATGAGCCTTTCGCCAAATCCAGCTCACTCAGTTTCCTGAAAATAAGACACTAATTAACCCTTTTTGATGGTTTATAAGCAAATGTACGACGTTTCCGAGGACCCTTCTCTCTCGTAAAATTCCCGTCCAACCAAAGGCTGGGAGCCGGAAAAGGCCCCTAAGAGTTACAGCGACCCAGGCTGCTCTCCTCCCCGCCACGCAGCGCCTCAAAGCCCGCCACAACTCGATCATTCGGACCTGGAAATCCAAACGCCAGCTCAGGACCACCGCCGGAACCCCGCTGCGCTCCAACAGGCAAGCTCCACACGGAGCCGCGCGGCGCCCAGCCCCACCCGACCCGGTCCCCTGCGGGCCGTGTTTGCCGCCGCCGCACGGAGGCCAGCGCCGGCCGGGCCGCCGAGGCTCAACTCTGGCTAGGAGACGGCCGTGGCTCCGCTCCAGGGCCAGCGCCTGGGCGTCTCCGGCGAGGCGGGTTCCTCGGCCTTGGGCCTCCGCTTCACCTCGGGAGGGACCCGGGCCCGGCCAGGCCTCACTCTCTCCCTCAAGGGGGTTGTTACCTTGTGTGGGGCTGGGGGCGGGGCGGCGGGAAGGGGTCGGGGCAAATAAGCCCAGTGGTAGTGGTGGCCGCAGCAGCAGCAGTAGAAGGAAACTCTCCGCGACGATAAGACGACTCGGTCTGAAAAGGAAGAACTCGGTCGGCGGCGAGGGGGGAGGGGAGGAAAGCCGGGCACTGGAAGGAGGAAAAGACAGAGACGGTGAAGTCTCGCGAGAAATACAAACTCTCGCGCGAGTTCGCTCGACTCACGTGACTCTGCGCGCCCTCTAGCCTGTCCCTGGCTGTTAGGGACGCAGAGTAGGCGGGGCCTAGGACGGATATGGCGTAGCTGGGCTGCGCCAGGCGCGGAATGTAGGTTATCTTCCTGGAGTTCCGGCTTGGAATTTATTGGAAATGCAAATTCTGAAGCCCCACCCCAGACCTCCTGAATCCAGAGACTCTCTTTTAACAAGCCCACCGGATGATAGCAATGTCTGCTGACGTCTGGGAACCACTGCTTTTCGGGAGCGGTGGTGGTGGGTTGGGGGGGGGGTGTTGGTGGGGGCTATCCTTATGTTGCCCTGGCTGGTCTCCAACTCCTGGGCTCAAGCGATCCCCCCGCATCGGCGTCCCAAAATACTAGGATTACAGGCGTGGGCCACCGCGCCCGGCCTGAGAACCACTGCTTTATATGATACAAGGCTTGGTAGCAACAGAAAGCTAATTAAATCGTGACAGAAATAACCTATTGGAGAGGAGATTGATTTCTTTAAAATCTTTTTTGTTAAAACCTACTTGATTTTAATTTAGTTGGGTTAATCTCGCCTGATAGGGAACAAAGTCCAAGTTAGTCTAGAATGGTAAACAGAGTGGTAGGAATACTGACATTTGTGTTCAGAAAGAAATGCCCCTTGTGTATGTTTGTAATAATATATACGCGTTCTGGACAGATACACAAACCTGTCCAGAGGTTTGTAATGGAAGCCAAATGTTTTATTGATTGCCTTCTTTGCTGTTTACCCTTTTTCCTTTTCTTCTTCTTCTCTCTCTCTCTTTTTTTTTTTTTTTTTGAGACGGAGTCTCACTCTGTCGCCTAGGCTGGAGTGCAGTGGCCGATCTCAGCTCACTGCAAGCTCCACCTCCCGGGTTTACGCCATTCTCCTGCCTCAGCCTCCCGAGTGGCTGGGACTACAGGCGCCCGCCACCTCGCCCGGCTAGTTTTTTGTATTTTTAGTAGAGACGGGATTTCACCGTGTTAGCCAGGATGGTCTCTATTTCCTGACCTCGTGATCCTCCCGTCTTGGCCTGCCAAAGTGCTGGGATTACAGGCTTGAGCCACCGCGCCCGGCCCTTCTCTTTTTTCTTTTTTCTTTTTTCTTTTTTTTTTAACCACATGTATATAATTTTGTTTCAATTGAAAAAACAATAAAGGCCTGAGACACAAAGGGTTATATAGATGCCGGGAAGCAACCTTTCCTGGGAGGTGGGGAGTTTGTTGCTGGACCCATAAAAAGGCCCACTTCTTGTGGATCACCTGAGGTCAGGAGTTTGAGACCAGCCTGACCACATGGAGAAACCCCGTCTCTACTAAAAATACAAAAAGGGAAAAAAAAAAAAAAAAAAAAAAAAAAAGCCAGGCGTGTTGGTGCGTGCCTGTAATCCCAGCTACTTGGGAGGCTGAGGCAGGAGAATCACTTGAACCTGGGAGGCGGAGGTTGCGGTGAACCGAGATCATGCCATTGCACTCCAGCCTGGGAAGCAAGAGTGAAACTCCGTCTCAAAACAAACAAACAAACAAACAAAAGGCCCACTTCTCAGATGGGATCTTTTGAACTGTACCAACATCTTTAGTTCCTTGCTTTCTTTTCAAGGAGCCTTCCCTTTGGTTGTCTACATACACACACATAACCCTTATAGTGAGTCAGATAACCGGTATAGATGGAAACTAGGTCAGGTTTGTGTGATTGGGATGGCAGTCAATTTAGAAAGATTGAAATTGCAGCAGAGGGCAGCAGTGTGTAGCTAGAATTAAGAGGGAAGACAAACCAGAAAGCATGTGCTTTTAAATAAAGAAGAGATTTGTTTAAAATAAAATGTAGTTTTAGAGAACTGCTGTTATTGTAATTGTGTGTTTTAAGAACCAATGCGAGGAGGAACTTCCTTGAATATAAAGTAAACCTTATTGTGTGAAAATCTCTTAAATGAGAACTTTTCCTGAACCCCATAGATCAGAAAATAGGGAAATATTCATTATCAGTTCCATTATAGATTTCTATACTATCTTAATAATTTTGTTTTCAGGATTGTTTTTATCTATGCAACATTCATTTATAAAGAAAAGCTGTATTGAATTTTAATTTTCACAAAGAAATAACAGTTTGTATGTGCCAGATACCATTCTAAGCACTCTACACATGTTCACTTAATTTTCACAATTGTATGCAGTGTTGTTCCAGACAAAACGGAAGCAGACAAAACTAACAGCAATACTTCAGATAGGCTTTCTGAATTAGTACTTCCTTCGAAGTGTCAAAATTTACTTTCAGTGTCTGATTTTTCTTAAAACGTTTGTGTTCAAACTTAATCATGTTTATTCAAAAAAAGAGCAATATCTTAAACCTTCAGTTTTGAAACATGATTTTTATTTTATTGAAAGATGGTAAATAAATAAAATGTAAAGGTTCCAAATTTTCATCAGAATATACAGCTATTTCTACTAAAGAAAATTAAAGTATGGCACCATGGCACCCAGCTACTTGGAAGGCTGAGATGGGAGTCTGGAAGTTTGAGGCTGCAGCACACTCTGTGCCTGTGAATAGCTGCTGCACTCCAGCCTGGGCAACATAGTGAGATCCTGTCACAAATTTTTAAAAATTAATTTTTTTTATTTTAGATGGATTCTCGCTCTGTCGCCCAGGCTGGAGTGTAGTGGTGCGATCTCAGCTCACTGCAACCTCTACCTCCGTGGTTCAAGCAATTCCCCTGCCTCAGCCTTCTAAGTAGCTGGGATTACAGATGTGTGCCACCATGCCTGGTTAATTTTTTTTTGTATTTTTAGTAGAAATGGGGTTTCACCGTGTTGGCCAGACTGATCTTGAACTCCTGACCTCAGGCAATCCACCCGCCTCGGCCTCCCAAAGTGCTGAGATTACAGGCGTGAGTCACAGCACCCAGCCTAAATTTAAAAAAAAATTTTTTTAAAGTATAGTTTTCTTTGGAAATGTGCCACCCCACTGCAGAGCAGAAGAATATGCAATAAAGTAATACATATTGGTCAAATAGGTTTGGGGTTTTTTTGGTTTTGTTTTGTTTTTGAGACTGGGTCTTATACTCTGTTGCCTAGGCTGGATTGTAGTGGTGTAATCTTGGCTCGCTGCAACCTCTGCCTCCCAGACTCAAGCAAACCTCCTGCCTCAGCCTCCCTAGTTGCTGGGACTACAGGCACACGCCACCATGCCTGGCTAATTTTTGTGTTACTATTTTTTTTTTTTGCTAGAGACAGAGTTTCGCTATGTTACCCAGGTTGATCTCAAACTCCTGGGCTCAAGTAATCTACCCACTTTGTCCTCCCAAAGTGCTGGAATTACAGGGTGAGCCACCTCCGTGGGGCAGAGACTGCATTCTTTATCTCAGCTTTTATTGTATCATTTCCTGACTAAAAGGAGCCCCAGATTTGGTCACTTTTTTTCTATTTTGACAAAATGCCAAAGGTAATGGATTAGAGTTGTGTACGTAATCATAGTAATTGTTTTATGCTCCTTTCTTTAGTCCTAATAAGTGATTTGAATCTTTGCATAATTTGCTGCAGGACAAGCTACTTACCTTTTTGTGCTTCTTTGAGTGTTTTTGGATACAGTGCATGGAACACATGTATCCTGGGGTGAAGCTTAGGTGTCATCATCCATTTAAAGTTGATGGAAAACAACCTGAAAATGGTGTTGGTCAGTGCAGGCGCTCAGATAGTCATCAGTCATAGCAATACTGAATTGTTTGCTTAAATTTGTATGGCACAGCTAGCCTTAGGATGTGCATTTTCTCTTTTTTTATTATTGTTATACTTTAAGTTCTAGGGTGCATGTGCACAATGTGCAGGTTTGTTACATATGTGTACATGTGCCATGTTGGTGTGCTGCACCCATTAACTCCTCATTTACATTACGTATATTTCCTAATGCAATCCCTCCCCCCACCCCCACCCCATGACAGACCCTGGTATGTGATGTTCCCCATCCTGTGTCCAAGTGATCTCATTGTTCAATTCCCATCTATGAGTGAGAACATGTGGTGTTTGGTTTTCTGTCCTTGTGATAGTTTGCTGAGAATGATGGTTTCCAGCTTCATCCATGTCCCTACAAAGGACACGAACTCATCCTTTTTTATGGCTGCATAGTATTCCATGGTGTATATGTGCCACATTTTCTTAATCCAGTCTATCATTGATGGACATTTGGGTTGGTTCCAAGTCTTTGCTATTGTGAATAGTGCCGCAACAAACACACGTGTGCATGTGTCTTTATAGCAGCATGATTTATAATCCTTTGGGTATATACCCAGTAATGGGATGGCTGGGTCAAAAGCTATTTCTAGTTCTAGATCCTTGAGGAATCGCCACACTGTCTTCCACAATGATTGAACTAGTTTACAGTACCCACCAACAGTGTTCCTATTTCTCCAGATCCTCTCCAGCACCTGTTGTTTCCTGACTTTGTACTAATCGCCGTTCTAACTGGTATAAGATGGTATCTCACTGTGGTTTTGATTTGCATTTCTCTGATGGCCAGTGATGATGAGCATTTTTTCATGTGTCTGTTGGCTGAGGATGTGCATTTTCAAGTATTCTGTGTTTTACACGTACCATTGAGGAACAGAAGACTGTACCACTAAAAAACAAAAATATGCCACTGAAAACAGAAAACAAGAATTTCTTGAGTTTGAGAAAAGATTATAGTCTAAGGCTTTACAGGATAAGAGATATCAAGGGTTTTTTTTTGTCTTTTTTTTTTGTTTTTTTTTTTTTGAGACAGAGTCTCGCTCTGTCGCCCAGGCTGGAGTGCAGTGGCCAGATCTCAGCTCACTGCAAGCTCCGCCTCCCGGGTTTATGCCATTCTCCTGCCTCAGCCTCCCGAGTAGCTGGGACTACAGGCGCCCGCCACCACACCC